AACTGTCATAATTAGAACAGGAGTGCGTGCATTCGCGTAGATTAATGGAATCTCCCATCACTGTTTTCTCACCTAGGACGGTTTCTGTGAACAAACCGAATTTTGAATGATGTATTTTTTATACAGTGCACAAGCTAATTTTACAGTATATTTATGAAAATTATTGAAAACTTTTAATAGGAGTAACACCGAATCTACGATGAAGAAAACACGTATCTCACCCACATCATAGACGACAAACCATAGCTAACCTTTATTCTCGATTACATTAATACCTATTCTACAAAAATCTATATTTTCAGTCAACTCTCATGCATGAACAACAAATGAAATGTTGCTCCCGCAAAATTTAATTCACGTTGGTATTAATAGCATGTAAAGCAATTATTTTGCTGAAGTATGGAATCAAATTAGTGGATCATATTATTTTCTATATCTCTCATACAGCGATAAGAAGTTCTAATATTTATACATTACGCGGGAGAAAATTTTTTTGAGAGAAAAATATTTACAATTCCAATTGAGAAGATATTTTCCAGTTAGAAGACTGATGTTTGTAGCTAAAATTAAGCTGATAATAAAAACTACATAATAATCGTTCTGTAATCGTACTGCCTAGTTTAAAAACATTGGATTGAATCAATTATAGACCGTCATTTTGAGATTAAATAAACTCCATTAATTTCTTAAGAATCTTCAGACCTCGCGAACTCCGCGCTGATCGTCGGCATGAGAAGCTACTCTTACTACCCCGCTGCCGTTCACTCCTCTGGCTTCTACAAGTGCAGGGGTTTGAACAGCTACCTCGGCGTTCCGGCCGTGAGACAAATTATTGTTCGGGGCTTGTCCAAGGTACCTGGCTTGTCCAGGGTACCTGGCTTGTCCAGGGTACTTGGCTTGTCCAGGTTACGTGGTTTGTCCAGGGTACCTGGCTTGTCCAGGGTACCTGGCTTGTCCAGGGTACCTGGCTTGTCCAGGNAGGGTACCTGGCTTGCCCAGGGTACCTGGCTTGTCCAGGTACCTGGCCTCTCCAGGGTACCTGGCTTGTCCAGGGTACCTGGATTGTCCAGTTTACCTGGCTTGTCCAGGGTACCTGGCTTGTCCAGTGTGTTGTGTAATGCAAAAAATGGTTCTGGCGGGTCAGCGAGCCAGTGATGGTCGTAGAACTATCAGGGGCACCAAGTGCCCGGAAAAACTGACATATCACCCCCTCCCTTACCTAGTCGCCACTATCAGGATGGGCATTTACAACAACAACAACTGTTCGGGGCGATAATAATTCTACAAATATCTAAATTCGTTTCGTGCTCTAATATGCATAATATGCTGCTTATTACTTATTTATTACAAATATGTTATTCAGCATTAGACACACTTATTCCAATGAGGAAGTTTTTTTGTAGAGTTTTCCCGTTTGGGTTCGGTTCTAGAGCATGAAGAAACTGAACCTTCTAAAATATTGAAAAATTTATCATGTATACTTTTCATTCCGTCGGATTAACATAAGCTCTCACAAGCTTCAAACAAAAATATTCTATCCCAGAATGCGTCGGAAGCGGCAGATTTGCGTACGGCATCAGGCTCAGCAAGCTCCATCTGGATAGGAATTGATGCTGTCGGACGCAATAGGCAATTTCTCACTTCCGGTGGCCCAGCCGACAACGGAGGTGAGTTATTTGATATGTACAATCATCAATAAATACATCCTTGCTACAATCATTAGCTGGTCTCTGAAAAAAAAGAAAAGATTTGATATATTTAACAATATGTGCAGGGACAAGACTGGAATTTCTTGGACTTCACCGATCTTGAGTCGGTTTTCCATCTCATTTCAACCTTCCTATGAAGTTGATCATTCTGTTTGACTCCAGAAAGATAATGAACTAATAATATTTAAATGTCTGCTGATGCCAGATAATAATTCAAAAATAAATTGTTCAAGTTGAAATCTAGAGATAATTAAGGTATATTGTTTTACCTGGAAGCATCGTTAAGATGTTGATGAAGCCATTGAAATTCATAAATTTTGTATCAGCAAGAAGGAAAGCCATTCAACTTTAATTTAATATTCGAATTTTTTGAATGCGTTATTTTATTTAAAAATATTTGTGTAGACCATATATTAATGAATCCTTGTTAGTCCACTCCATAACGTTACCCTAAACAACATAAAAATTATCAAACTTCACTTTTGCTGATTAGAATCATCCAAATGATATACATAGATGCTACTCATCCAATTCTAAATAACAATAATGGTTGAAAAATACATCAAGCAACAAATTGTGCGATTCAACGTCATTTTTCTGGTCAGGTCAAACCCCGAAGTACTTACCTTACCGCCCTGGTCAGCCTGATAACTCTTGGGGCAAAGAACAGTGTTTGGAGCAAGTTGCGGACGGACTCAACGACAATGACTGCTCGATATTGAGGCCGTACGTCTGCCAGTCTTTTGTGCCGTACAGCTGTGTTTCGCTGCCTAATTCGGCCTACCCTGCGGATTACATGTGCTTCAGTCGACAGTAATAATTAATTGAGGAGTTGATGTTAATTGTTAATTACTGGGTTTCCTATATTTTGCCTACACTCTGTATGTTATAATTTTCAGATAGCTTGGTGCTGCCCGACAGATTTCCACTCTTCCTTCAAATCCATTTAAAAAATATTTTAATTATTTGTACAAGTAGAATCTATAAATAAATCAAATTAGAGGAAAAACTAAGAGGAGACAAGAATTGGCTAAGAAAAAGAGTGATGAAATAAAATTAAGAGGCAGAAAGAATTCAGGCTCAAGATTGTGTTTGATTGCTTCATGCTAGTGAAGCAAAATTTAATAATCTTGTGGAATCCAACGTTGCATCTTATAAATCCAAGGAAGAATGGGGTCTTAAGTGCGTACATCGACATCGCAGCATGTAGGAATTTTTGTGAACTATAAACTAAGTCAAAAATCGCCGTACTCGAGGAGACGAGCAGCGGACGATAATGCCTGCAACACCCCTGCCCCAGTGCGGAGCCAGAGGCTGGGTCTAACGTTGTCTAAATTGCCGCAACGTTGCCACCGTACTTCTCGACCTAGATAGGTCCTGCACCTGGATGGGTCTAGACCTAGATAGGTCCTGCACCTGAATGGGTCTAGACCTAGATAGGTCCTGCACCTGGATGGGTCTCGACTTAGATAGTTCCTGCACCCAGATTCTCGACCTAGATAGGTCCAGCACCTAGAAAGGTCTCGACGTAGATAGGTCCCACACCTGAATAGGTCTCGACCGTGATAGGTCCAGCACCTGGATAGGTCTCGCCCTAGATAGGTCTTGCACCTGGATAGGTCTCGACCTATATAGGTCCTGCACCTGGATAGGTCTCGACCTACGTAGATAGGTCTTGCACCTGGATAGGTTAATCTTGTGGAATCCAACGTTGCATCTTATAAATCCAATGAAGAATGGTGTCGTATGTGTGTACATCGACATCGCAGCATGTAGGAATTTTTGTGAACTATAAACTAAGTCAAAAATTGTCGTAGTCGAGGAGACGAGCAGCGGATGATAATGCCTGCAATAACCCCTGCCCCAGTACCGAGCCATAGGCTGTGTCTAACGTTGTCTAAATTGCCGCAACGTTGCTACCGTACTTCTCGACCTAGATAGGTCCTGCACCTGGATGGGTCTATACCTAGATAGGTCCTGCACCTGGATGGGTCTAGACCTAGATAGGTCCTGCACCTGGATGGGTCTCGACCTAGATAGGTCCTGCACCTGGATAGGTCTCGACGAAGATAGGTCCTGCACCTGGATGGGTCTAGACCTAGATAGGTCCTGCACCTGGATGGGTCTCGACTTAGATAGTTCCTGCACCCAGATTTTCGACCTAGATAGGTCTAGCACCTAGAAAGGTCTCGACGTAGATAGGTCCCACACCTGAATAGGTCTCGAACGTGATAGGTCCTGCACCTGGATAGTTCTCAACCTAAATAGGTCCTGACCCCAGATAGATCTCGACCTAGATAGGTCTTGCATCTGGATAGGTCTCGACCTAGATAGGTCCTGCACCTGGATAGGTCTCGCCCTAGATAGGTCTTGCACCTGGATAGGTCTCGACCTAGATAGGTCTTGCACCTAGATAGGTCTCGACCTAGATAGGCTCTGCACCTAGATAAGGTTCGACCGTGATAGGTCCTGCACTTAGATAGGTCTTGATCCAGTATGTCATGCACCCAGATAGGTCTCGATCTAGATATATCCTGCACCTAGGTAAGTCTCGATTTAGGTATGTCCTGCACCTGGATGGGTCTCGACCTATATATATCCTGCACCAATTAAGTTTCGATCTAGATATGTCCTGACCCAGGTAGGTCACGATCTAGAGAAGTCTGATGCTCCATAGCGAGCGGCCGCGCAGGCGAGTAATGTCTTGTCCAGGAAGGTGCGCCTAATTTTCGCCGTCACGAGTGGTCAAATTTGAAATTTTGGCTGAAAACGTGTGGATCTGTTAACCATAATTCAGATACCGGGATATAAAATTATCAAGAATAAATCTTGATAATTTGATTTGACTAGCACAATCTTTTCAGTTCGGAGTAGATGAATTATATTTTACATGTTACCGAAAACTCTCTATTACCTCAGGCGTTATATGTATATCTGACAACACTTCATTTAAACATTTTAGAGACACGAATGTTGAGAAATTTTTAATAGAACAAAAGATTTATCTGAAATCTCACAATGCACTTCCTTTGGCACAATAAAAAATATATTCTACAACAGTAATACACTCTGTCACTCAACTCTCATGTTAAGAAAATTCTGCCGAGGTTTCCGTAGCAGCAGGACCTATCTCTGCCCTAAACGCAGGTATGGTCCCTATCAATATNCCAATTCCGTTCATTATTCTACAGCTGTTGATTCATTCAAGTAAATTCTTTAGACCCACTGATTCCACCTATTATAGATTCTTGAACATTTCCCAGTTGATCTATTTTAAGGGAGAATTAATATTCAAGCGACTGTCCAAACAGCTACAGAGGTTTTTAAGTAAACAGCACAAAGCTTACGTGGACATCTGCAGATTTTTCTTACCGATAGTACGTAGTTATAGTGCATAGAAATGCCGTTGTCGGTAGCCTGGTATTCGGGATGAACGCACGCGGACTGGCCGGTGAACTTGAGTCCCCTGAAAACAATATACAGTAAGACCTTAGCATTCGTGACTTCCTTATCCTCGTTCCAAGAGGCCTGTACCCGCTTTTTTAGAATCCATAAACCTTCTCTTTGTGAGGGCTATTTTCTCCTGCAAGGCACGAAGCCTAGCTTAATGAGGTTCGTTTTTTTTATTGTTATGCAGTAGCTCTCTCAATACGAACCTGGTGTCCTACTTTTGAAATGCGCAAATGTTCGCGTCATGAGACCAGTATTCTATTTTCATGAAAAACGTGATTTTCCTGCGATTCTCGTATCCAGGACTCATGAAGCACATATCCTCGCTTCCAAAGACACGTATCCTCCTATTGAGGAACGTATCCTAGATTCATGAGGTACGTACGAGTATTATTAGTTTAGACGATCGTGTGTCGAACCTCTTGACCGGGTTTCCATGTATAAGTATTTTAACTGCTTAATTTTTTTACTTCAAATTGAACAGAATATGTAGAGGCACAAATCACCAATCAGTTGAATTTGCTAAACACTGCAGAACGAGCAACATCGAGTTGAAAGTAAAATATTTCAAATTTCTGAGGTAAGTGTACTTCCTCTTTAAAGATGTATTTACGTGAAGAAAGTCCACGGCGATTGTCCACTGACAATCAAGGAGGAAACTTTCATGTCCAACTCCACGACGGTTTCAGTATTTGTGTTGCCCTTAAATTCGTTCCCTTCAAAAAACGATGACTCGTAGAGGTTGAAATATACGTCGTCCATGCCATATGGGCTGCCCGCATACCGCAGAGAAGATATCTGAGAGACAAATGTTTAGTAGAAGTGATGCACATTGATATAAAAGCATTTTTTTTAACTATTTATCACAATAATAAGTATTGAAAATATAGTGTTATCCTCATTGTTGTATAGGCTCAACAGATGCTGAGGTGTATACGTTGTATATGCAGCTAATATAAAAGTTAATATTTTCAACAAAATAAGTATTATGGAAATATTGTGTTATCCTGATGCTATCCTAGGCTTACAGGTGCTAAGATAGACAAGTTAAATAGCAGCTGATATAAAAGTAAATACTATGACAGTGAAAAGTATTGAATAGATAAAGTATTATCCCCGTTGCTATCCTTGGCTTACAGATGCTGAGATAGACGAGTTGCACAGTAGCTAATATAAAAGAATATGTTTTACCCATAACATTTTGTCTCTTGAATACTTATGTTTCGAGTGGATAAATTTCTATCGTCGATGCTATCCTAGGCTTACAGATGCAGATGTAGACAAGGTGTAGCAGTAGTTGACACCGCGAATGTAATTCGCTTCATTATCGTAAGATATCTCAGAGTACAGGATCCAACTGAAGGGAGAATAGAAGAAATGTAGCATGCTACAAATAAATATCAAGAATTACAATTACATCAAATGTTGTTGTTTCTTTATTACTTATTTGATAATTTGAAAAGAAAATACCCGATAAATATTAATTAATAAATGATTCCTATTGATTAAGAAATCAAGCATTCATGACGAATAACTTCTACGAATCATTATCACTTATAGATCAGTGCGAATTTTTTTGAGTTTATTATCAAAAAAACTGATAGCAAATCGTCTGAATAATCAATGATTAATTTATCATCTGAAAAATACTTTCCGAAATTCCGAAGTGACCGAAATTCCCGAGCTACCTTAACGGAATACGGATTAATATTGAATAGGCTATCCCTGAATTGACGTTACAGATTCGGGTGTAGCTACAAGCACCTCATGTCATTTAGATGTTTTTAGGAATGATGTGTTGTATGGTTAGATTAACTACAATACATGAAATAATAAAGATGACCAAGGCCTTAATAATGAAAATCGGTGCTTAGCCGCCTCAGGTTTTATTTTTCATAAACGGGACTCTGATCAACGGAACACAGATTAACGGGACTCCGATCAACGGGACTCTGATCAATAGGACTCTTATCAACAGGACTCTGATCAATGGGACTCCGATCAACGGGCCTCTGACCAATAGGACACATCGGAGTAAATGTTTCATCCTTTATTTTACTATCTCTTTGCGTCAAGTGGATCAAAATTCAATACGTACTTTCGAACTTCATACGTGCAGCAATATTATTATACATGATATCGGTGGCCGAAGGTGATATCGATCTCAATTTCTTTCAGTACCAGCAACAAATGTCTAGAAGAAGCTACTCACGTGAAGTTATTCGCAGTCCGAACAACAGTTTGGTTCGGCTTGCAAAAAGACTCAGAACTTATAGGTCTTATTTGCTGCAATATGCATGCAAGGTAGATAGCCGAATGTTGGCTTGTCCCACTACTAGTCTACTTGTCCTCACTGCTCAGTAGTTATCACACAAATTTCATCAGAATTTAAAGAATAAATGCTCACTATCCCGTCACGCAGACTCGTTTGATGACATTATCCAGGCCGAGGACGCCCAGGTCAGGGCAGGAGTCGAGGAACTCGTGAGCGGGAGTTGCATGAGGATCAGTAGATGTGTACGCCTTGAGGTACCGCAAATCTGGGTAGTCTGATAAGAAGAAGTGTCAGTGGTAACATAACTACTGATAACAATTCGTACTAATCTTTTAGAGCAAATTCATTCAGTCGGAAAACTCCGACTTCGAGTGGTCTTTCATTCGATGAAGAAGTGGCCAAGTTGTTTGGTCATATCTTTGCATTTAAAGTTCTTGGTGAACTTGTTATTTAGATCATCTGGTGGCATACTAGAACTTGTGGTTCATAGCAGGAAAGACCGACCAAAATACAGTAGTGCCGATATAAGCTAGAGAAGTTCTCCGTAACTTGAAGTCAAGTTTTCATATCATGATTACCGCAGTTTTAATAACACATGCAAAGACATAAAATATTATCCTAGAAACTTATAAACATAATTTAAGTAAGCGAGAGGAACGTGATTTGACATCAACCGGCAATTATCTTAGATTACATTTATTTTGATTGCAATCATCTTAAATTTAAACCAGTTTCTTATTTGAAAATCTAGAATTAAATTTCCAGCTGATCCGAATGGCTGATATCAAAATGCTGAATGGACTGAAATTATAAAGCTAATCGATGCGTTAATGTGATACCAGCACCGGGAATTAAAATATTTGTTTTTAATTCAATTTCAGATCGTTTGTTTTTGTCTAAGTTCTGCGATATGCATTCCATAGTTGCATTCTATCTGGTCCTAAAAATAGCACATATTTTTTAAATTATCATTATCCGAGAGCACGCGTGTATCGTATCGTTAGGCCACTCATTTGAAAGAAGCACGTTACATTAAAAACTTTTCGAATAACGCCAATTCGAGAAACGCCATCTACGACGAAATGTATTATTGATGCGATTATCAAAAACCGATTTAAAAAATACCTAGGATAAAGTGAATAACAATTGGTGCTTATAAAAGACAACGAATTCCATTACATCAACAATAATTTGAATATTTTTTATTGAGGGAGTACTTATCTAAATCAATATCGGATCAGAAGTTTACAGATATTATTAAAAAAATTTGCATGGTTATCTCAATAAGAAGAATGCTCTGTAAAAATTAAATTTGGTAGCATGATAATCATGTGGATATATCCATCAAAAAATACTAAAAATACATAAGAAAAATTCTTACCGATGATCTGGCCGACGACGCAAGATAACGCAGCCGCAAGGGCCAAGAAAATTATGAAGCTCTTCATCTTCTCGACTGATAATTGGTAATAATGCAGTGTGATGGGAGACCTGCCTAAGTACCTGCACCAGCGCAGGTGTGTGACTTCCCACTGTACATTACATCATCCATCAACTCTTCACCCGAATACGGGAACGAATATTCCAGGAAGTTAACTACGTCTTGAATGTCCACAAGAAAAATTCATACGTTGGCGAACTGGAGGGGCACTTCAAAGGGGGGCAAGTGAACCACATGAAACAAGCTCACAACCAGACTGTCACTCGCATTGTGCTGGAGGAACTCACCAGGGCCCATAATTTCAAAAAAGTTATGAGATCGTAAGTTCATCAGCCAATCATTGACGGCCTTTCAAGCAAATCCACCAATCATAGACAAGAAAATAGCGCGTAAATACTTACGTTAACTTAGCGAGTGTGAAAGCATGGCCCCAACATCGTGAGCAAACAGTGGCCCGACAGCAACCGACCGGCGATAGCTGAACTCTTCATCTCTACAGATTGGACTCCTGCTATCTATTTTCTGACTACCGGATTTGTCTGAACTCTGAAAGAATTTTCAGAATAATTTTTGGTCAAAAATTTTACTATTGTATCCTATTTACATAGGGCAACGTGGGGCAGCGCGCCCCCCACTTTTTTTAAACTAAATTTTTGATGAAGTTTTAATTGATACGAGGTGGTTCTTTGTTTTGTTAGAGAACACGGACCAATATCTGCCATACTTAGCGAGAAACCCGCTATGGGCCCGTGACCCGCAGTGGGCTCGCTGCCCCATGTTACCCTATATTATGTACGTATCACCAAAATTTCAATATTTAATGCTTATTCTAACTTGAAAATGAATGTTTGTTGCATTCGAAAAGTCGTTAATAAACAAAAACTACTTCCTGAAACTTTCCATTCAATCTACCGTCATCTGAAGAATTGTTTCACTCCCTGATAATATAAATCAACGAATTCTCTGGTCATCAATCGCACGTGTATAAATAATGCAATCAATAGTAATAATGCATGTATTTTTTTAATGCTTCTTAGTTTGTGCACCAGCGTCTCAGAATGAAGAGCCAATATTATATGCCCTGCGGGCCGGAATATACACTGTCCAATGTTTCGAAAATCAATAAGTTGTAATATCAACCACAAATATATTAAAAAATGCCATGTTATTTTCTATCTGACATTCTAACTGAAATTAACTTTCAATATATTGAATTGCCTGCGTCTCTGTACCTACAAAATTTCTGAATCCACCAACATGCACGTGTTTTTCTGTAAATATTCCGGCAGCTCCCAGCTACCGCTAGCCGTGTAGCCGTGCAGCCGTGCAGCCGTGCAGCCGTGCAGCCGTGTAGCCGTGCAGCCGTGTAGCCGTGCAGCCGTGCAGCCGTGTAGCCGTGTAGCCATGTAGCCGTGCAGCCGTGTAGCCGTGTAGCCGTGCAGCCGTGTAGCCATGTAGCCGTGCAGCCGTGTAGCCGTGTAGCCGTGTAGCCGTGTAGCCGTGCAAGCGGCCACATGCAATGGCAAAAAGTTCATCGCTATTCAGTCAAAATCTCTCTCACTTATTTAAGTGCAAGTTTCTTTGTTTGTGAACCAAAGTATCAGAATGGAGAGCCAATATTATATACCGCAAGATAAAGTCATTCGTTTTATTATCCAATATATGGACTTCTGCTATAAATACATAAAAAACTGATATAATAGAAGCATCACTAGGAGACTTGAGAAAAATTCATAATTTTGTATTTAAATTCAGTTCATTCATTCTTTTGCTAACGTATCATACAGTCCATAAATTTCCCGGAAATTCTAATTTATTTTACACACGTGAGTTGGCGAAAATCTTATCTCCATCATTTTCGATTCATAGTTAATCTAAATTCCGACTATAGATCCCGGCAATATTGTTTCAACGGATCACAAGCTACTAATTGCAGCGAAGGCTACTAAATCGCACTGATCTGACCAGTGAATCTAAACGTTCTAACACAGAATTCTGCACATAAACTCTATATGATTACTCACACAGATTTATCGCTGTCTTAACAATATTCTCTATGATCATCCGATCTTTAAGATTATTGAATTGGGCTAGCTCTATCATATGCAGAACGTAAATTAGATAAGTTTGACTATTGTTGCTAAATCAATGAGCTGATCAATGAGCTGATTAGGCCACGGGTATAAATAGGGAAATGCAAAATGCTTCTCAGTTCCGGCAATGACTCGTTAACTGACGTGCAGAGTTCTCCCAGCTTTTGATACTAGACACTACACAAATGGAAATAGATTGTTAAATAAATATGCATGTACTTATATTGGCACAGCATGGTTATATTTTAACAAGGGGCTAATTGAAATATGTAAAAAACCTAAATTTAATCAATTATTGTTTTCAGCACAACCTCTTATTTATTTATTAACTGTGGATAAATATCGGATAAATTAGCGATCAAATTTGGTCTCGATATAAGTTCTAATCCTTTTTTTCCTAATTTCAAAGTCACTGATATATTCAACCAATAAGTAAAAGCAGAAATTTCTCTGCAATTTTTGTATAATCATAATACCATATAACTTATTTCCTATTTTAAACACATTTAAATTTATTTACTATTTTATATACATTTAACATTTTATTTACTATCTTGCATTTCTACTATTTTAAACAAATTTGAAATAAAAATAAGTTTTATACGTTTAAAATTTGTAGAATATTCCTCTCTTAAAGCTTTTTATAGACTGCTCTTGTATCTATAATACCTACAAATGTTGTTGCGAGTCCACGTGATCGCGTGGCTCGCCATGGGACGGCTGGTCTGCTGGTCAGAAGCTGTCAAGGTAGACACGCTCTTCCAGCGCATCTACGAAACATGCAAGAACCCAGGGCCGCAGGAGAAGGTTGCCAGTCTGGTGAGTTACTCTTTTAGTAATTGATAAAATATAATCCTACTCGATCTATTATCATAATCAAAGTAAGAATGTCTTAAAACCTGGGCAGGAGAAGGTGGCTAGTCTAGTGAATTTCCGCGTTACTAATTGATTAAATATAATCCTACTCGATCTATTATCATAATCAAAGTAAGAATGTCTTAAACCCAGGGCAGGAAAAGGTTGCCAGTCTGGTGAGTTACTGCGAGTAGGATTCTATTTAATCGATTAAATACTACTCGATATATGATCACAATCAAAATAAGAATGTCTTGAACCCAGGGAAGGAGAAAGTCACGAGTCCGGCAAGTCACTGCCTTACTACTTGATTACGTTAATTTCAACCCGATGTGTGATTATATTCCAAGTAAGTATGTTTTAAATCCAGGGTAGCAGGAGCCGGGGGCGAGGCTGGTGACTTAATGCGTTACTAATTGATTACATATGGAATCCTAGCCAATATATTATTACCATATAGGCATAAATGTCACCCAGTTCAGCAGTAGAATGCCACGAGGCTGGAGAGTAACTGGTTTATTATTTTGAACCTCTACCGCCTGAAATACGAAATCATGAATAAATATATTTCAACTCATTATTTTTATGTTATTTGGGATGCAATAATATCATATCTATACGGCTATACCGTTTTTTAAATTTCACGGCATCATTAAAAGATGTATAACATGTCCCTCAGGAGGAACATTCGTCATCACAATAAGTCATTAATATACGAGTCACTCACATGGAGCATCGATCAGGGAAACAGCTAAAATTTTGTTAGTATATTCTATTATGAACATTATCGTTATAAAATGAGAACGAATAAACAATCAGATAACGAAAAAATGTGCTGTAACAAGATTCAACGACTTGAAAAACATACCATCATTATTATTTATGCCATTAGTAAGTTCAGTTTGAAAGCTTCCGCTTATTTTCCGTCCGAAGAATAAGTATTGTAAATATCTGGAATTAAGGAAATATGGAATTTTTCAACTTTATATACGAATTATATATTGACTCTAAACGACCCGTGTAGTATTTCATGAAATAATAATTAAATTTTCATTATATTTTCATTTTAAATGCTTTTAAATGTTATCATTTGAAAATGATAAATTCAACTGAAAATGCAGGAATCTATCATTTTTTTTCTCACAAATGTTATGCGATTCAATCTCCTGACGGCTGTTCACTCTCAGTGATAGACAATAAGTACAATGGAGTGACGGGTCTCTCTCTTAGTGACATTGAATAACACATTTATTTATAAAACAAATTCATTATAGGGTTGGGGGAGAAACCAAAGATACTAAACATGACCTTGATGCATAAAAACCCCATTTAAAAAATCAAAGCTTTCTAGCTCGCCACTGCTTTCATCCATGATAAGTTGAAGATGATAAGCCTTAGCAATATTGTCAAAAGCCTACTTCCCAAAGAGGATATGTTGCTAGCGAGCGCAAAATGACGCATTAATGGTTACTGTCGTGTAAGAACACTTTAAGATGTTCTCTATATCGGACAACTGTCTTTAGGTTGCTAAACTCAAAAGTAGACGTATTATTTAACTTATATTAACTTTAACTGATGATTTAACTTCTATAGTCAGTAGTTTACGTATAATTTAACTTATATTTAAGTTATATTCCCGGATAGTGATATATGTATGGAGGTAGAGGGTAAACGGTTAACTCTCAAAATCTTACCAGAAATAATTACAATTTAAGTAAGACTGTTTGAACGGCCGAAGGCGCATCCAGCTCTATACCCTATGTGAGATGGATGCGCTCAACAGTTTTTTCAATTTTTTAAAGTTTAATTAAATATGTATATATTATATATAAATATATATAGATAGAACTTACGTGAAATTATAGAATGACAAGGCGAGGGTTATATTAGTGACCTGCAAGAACACAGGCTCAATATTTTTTGCTTAAAGTTTGTTTTGACTCTATCTAAGACTCATTATTAGACGGCGAACGTTATTAATCACTTGCAGACTCTATATTTCTTCCCTTTTCTCCCTTAAAACTCGGAAAAAATTCATATCCTTATAAGACCCTGCAATTTTACTTTTTCCTAAACATGTCAACTGAGCTTGCTAAAGTTTTTACAGTATTCCTCGTTATCATTTTTTATAAATACCTAAAATATACTCCGATTATCGCCCGAGGATAATCAGTTTTCTTGAAAACCATTATTTTCTTCGTTAAAGTGTGTTTTATTAGTTTTCACAGTAATTCTTGTTATCATATTCAAGAAATGTTTCAAAAATATAACTCAGTATACTCACTGCAGTGAGTGACAGAGAGCGCATTTTCTCGTCGACGAAAACTTGAGGTCACGGACAGACGGACGGACAGACAGACGGACGGACGGACATTACGAGCACAATAGTGCATTTTTTCCATAAATGAGAAAAAGCGCTAAAAATACTCCGATTATCCCCCAAGTATAATCAGTTTTCTTGAAAACCATTATTTTCTTCATTAAATTGTGTTTTATTCTCTGAACAGACACACTGCTCAGCCAAGTGCAACGCTGCCAAGCAGGAGTGCCTGGGGTTCTGCTACTCACGGTCGACCAAGCTCTGTGTGCTGCACAGTGAGTGGCTCGTATATCTCGTACTTGTTGTTTCCAATTCCGTACAAAACTGTGTTTCTAATTCCGTGCATCACCTTAAATAACACTAAGGTCGATTATAAAATAAATAATTCTTCAAACACAATTGCAGAATTTTTTCTCATTTAAAAATTCTAAGGAGTACATTTATAAAAGTAGAATTTGTACTGTATAATTTGTAGTATTTGCTGGAAGACAAGATGATATAGGTACTTAATAATTTCAAGATAATATTTTAATTATTTATGTAGATGCACAATTGAATATTCATACCATGCATTATGCACCAGGGAGAATTTAACCTCCATTTTAACCCCGGTTATGATATTTTCGAGATAATTTACAGATTAATTTAAAATTGATTTTAATAAATAAATCGCTTTATTTCGCTTCAAAATTAAAAATGCGTTGTTCATTTAAAGTACATTTTACCACAACCTCCAGTGTATCGTTGATAATTTCACACTCAAAACTTTTACTCCACGCACTGTTTTCAACTCGTCAGTATCGGCCGATTTTATGGTAATAATAATAATACAATATATTTTAATCATTATTATTATTAATATTATTATTATTATTATTATTATATATTGATTGTTATTACTATTAATGTTAATATACTTTTTTTTATTATCAATATTATCATCATTATTACTCATCAGCTCGTCATGTTTGCATAAACTTTTTTTTGGTTAATAGGACACAGCAGAGGACAGAGGATTGGCTGGACAGCGTGCATCATAAAAGTGACTGTTGTATAGGTTTTTACCTACTTTCGGCATAAGAGGAGAATATTTAAATAGATTATTTTTCAGATGCTTTCTTAAGGAATTTTTGACAACATCTGACCCATTTGGTCTATGGCGTAAAAGACATCTACGAACTTCAGAAATTTGAATAAATTTTGCCTCTATTTATTTATTTCGGATCATTATTATATTATTATTAACATTATTTATTAATAAATAGTAAATCTAACGCCAAGCCACTCACTGATTCTTCGAACATGAGACAACTAATAAAATTCATTTTCACTTACATGAAACAACGAAAGCCTGTATATGCGAATATTATTAATAATCAAATGTTGTTTCGCCACAGAACCATATTCCCTGTACAGCTCAAACCACATCGATGTAGTGATGACATACATCTACCACTCCGGCGGCCTCCCTCACGCCATCGCCTATTCCAACTGTAGAGCCTGGGGCGGCTACCTCGCAGTGCCGGCCGTGAGTGATTCATGTTTTCGAATGATTTATGTTTTCTGTCGTAACTAATTTTTGAAAGTACGTGAGATTTTATTACAAGGGATGATGAATATATAGGTAGTGGTAACTTTACATTGTGATTGCAGAGCAATATTAGTTTGATTTATGTTAGTTCTTTGAGCTTATATCGTCATTTTTCTACAGTATTCGCGAAAGGTAAAAGCCAGGAAGTGGATGAAATTAATTTATAAAATTAATTAAGGAATAAAAATAATTTATTTTATTTAATCAATTTAGTAATTAAGTGAAAGTAGGAAACTTCCTAAGATTCCTCAAACTTTGGGAATTATGATATATTCTCAGAACTGGAATGAGGCGTACAATATTCGTTCTGTCTCGAACTGGGCTGAAAATTTATGGCTCGGGCTTGATGCCATCGATCGCAACGGACAAGTGGTCACCTCCGGCCCTTATTCGGACTACGGAGGTAATTCAATTAGTCGTTTTAAATTAATCATGCAATGTCTTGTTTTTTAATTACAGTGATCGTTAATTAACTCTTGATCAACCCAGTTTCGATCCTCCTGATCATTCATTGATTACGAGCGACACCTCAACAATAACAAGATTGCTGAATGTCTGCTTCTAATAAATCTACACTCACTCCGTCACTTTGTTCGAGCGTTAAAATACTCATAGACTAGAATACATAGTATGTACGTAAATTTACTTCCCATTCGGAAAACTCAAAGCACTCAAGATATTTTAAGAGATATAGATATTTTAATCAAGATATTTTAATTCAATCAATTCATATATAATTTTTAATTCTAAAAAACTACCTAATTCTGAACTATGTAGGCATTGTTTATTTATTTCATTGTAATTATCTCATCAGAGTAATTGTGTATATTATCAGACTTTTTTAATTCAAAAACATCTGTTAAAAAACTCATATAAATTGTTTTGATTGTGGTTGTTTAAATACTGTTTTGCAAAACGGAAAATAATTAGTGTCTAAAGTGAGAACATGTATGTGTGTCTGTGAGGCCAAATTACAATAATCTATGGACCGTCAACATCAATCAGGCCAGGTTTAAAAGACAAAATCAAGCCTAAATTATTATTGTGGTTTATATGTTATTCTTTCAAATGTCAACCAGATGATATCAAGTTTGTGTCCTACCTTAATCAAGTCAATCATGCTTAAGATTTACATTGATGTCAACCCTATAGCTTCAAATCGCCTGCCTGAGTTCAGCGAAAAATACAATGATTTTTTCCTATGTCTCCGGACAGGCCAGTCAGTGAGGTACTTGGATTGGAAGTCAGAGCAGCCTGACAATTTGCAGCGCCATGAACAATGCTTGGAAATTTGGGCTGGTTACTTCAACGATGCAAGTTGTGATCTTGCACGACCGTATGTCTGCCAGTCTTGCGCACCGTACAGCCGTGTTTCCCTGCCTGATTCATCCTACCCTTCTGACTACAAGTGCTATCGAAAAATTCGATAATAAACGCGTTAGCATCGATTGTGAATGTGCGGTAATTTTGAAGTAAATGTGCTGAACGCCTAATCAAGATTTTATTATTTTCTATCTGTGACACAGTCAAGCACAATCTTATCAAGAGTCGAGAACATTCTTATAGTTTTTGCAATTTATTCCTAAAGCTGACTGATATACGTCCATGCTTTTTGTGCAATCTAAAATTCATCAGAAATTCATTTTTTAAGCACAATGTTATCTTGACGTGCAATATGCTTATACGCATCGACTTATTATTACTCCACTTTTCATCTTAGAATATTTCTCATTGTACATCACAGATAGTAGAAAACGAGTCATATCTTTAAATCAAATTCATAAATATATAGTCATAGTCACATCAAACAATCTAACACTAACTT